TGTCTTTCAGACAAATGGTAGATTGCCCTATATAAAATAAAATAAAATAACACCTATGAGGAATGTGCTCCATAGACCAGTCAACTATATGAGGCAAAATGGACAACATTTTCCCAAAAGCGAAGATGAGAAAGCAGGGAAGGGAGAGTAAACTGCCGAGTTGGAAAGAGGGAAAACAGGATGGAAATGGGGAGAGTGCCGATTCATTGTGAGGATAGTACCAATGTTACAGAAAAAATTGTGTATGAATTATTGACTTGGAAACTAATTTGCTGTGTAAACCTTCACTTAAAACATACTAAAATGTTCAAATAAAAATCTCAATGGGCATTTTGTAGAAATTGGCAAGGTGAGTCTATAATTCTTAAGGAAAGTGAAAGGGCTAAGAATAGAGAAAACAACCTTGATACAAAAAGAGCAAAGTGACAGGTTTTACACTACAGGCTGCAAGACATAAAAATTAATATAAAATTATCAAGACTTCACTGAATAGACATCAAGAGAGACAAACAGATCAGTGGATTAGAATCAAATCCAAAAATAGACCCATACATGACACACTATGAGTGAATCTCAAAATAATTATGTTGAGTAATAGAAGCCAGACCAAAAAAATATACATATATACAATATATGGTTCTATAAATATACAATTCTTAAAGATGAAACGTAATGTAATGACAGAAAGCAGATTGGTAGTTGTCTGGTGATGAGCGCAGAAAAGAGTTGGAAAATATGCATTACAAGTAGCATGAGATAAATTTGGGAGTGGATATAATCTGAAATAAATTGGTGGTAATTTCACTAGTGAATACATATGCCAAACTTATCTAACTATATTTACAGCATATGCTTTTTATTCAATGAAGCTGTTAACAATGTGATAAGAAATTGAACAGATAATTCACAATGGCTTAACTGGGCAAAAAGACACATATTGGAGATTGGGACTAAGTCAGGAAATTGTACAGACACATGCTATTCATAGACATGTAATATTACAAGACAGTGCTTGTAATGTTACACCTTTTGAAATTACAGAAAGGACACAAATTGCTTAGTCTTTTTCTCCATGTACAATCCTCCAAAAAGATGAGTTTAAAATAATAATAAAAAAAATAAAAAACTTTTAAGATTCCACGTGTTTGAAGACAATAGGACAGGTTTGAGGTAGATGTACAAAAAATGAAAACTTCTAAGTAAGGAAAATTTAATATTGTTTCAGGGCTTTGATAAGCCCTGTAATTTTTACAGGGTCTCAAAAGGTTAATATTGACTATGGAATAATTACTAATGTTCCAAACACTCAGAAAAATAGTTTAATGTTTGTTTTAAATACACAAGGGATGAATAGAATCCAACAACTGTGATGAAGAGCCCCTAAGGGACATTTTTGCTCACAATCATACTTGTAGTTTCCAATAGATCAAAATAAAATTTCCCTTTAATAGTAGTGGACTAAGGGTAAACAGGATTATTTTTTTTTTGTACTCTGCCTGGTAGGTCTTGAATTGTTACTCTTCATCAATACTTCTTGAATTCTTATGCAAGATAACTCCACCTTTCTACTGGAATCAGTAAGATGCTGAACTGTTAGTATTCTATGATGAAATTATCTTGTAATAGTGTGTGTGTGTCATGTACTATTTAGAGCAAAACAAGAGTAGCAACACTTACCGTACTGAGATTATTCAGGTAAATTATAAAATTACACTTTCCTTTGATAAGATTGTGGTTGAAACTGTATTTTGTAAGATGACTAACATTTTCTGTTACTCTTACTGGAGGAGCTATTGTTTTCCCCAATAGATGTAACTCAGAAGGCAGATACAAGAGCATATTTCTTCTTCCACTTGTTCTATATCTGTTCTCCTGTCCTCAACTTCTTGGCTTTATCCTTCACGACAAATCTGTTTAGATTAACAGTGCTTCCCCTTTGTATTGTAATTTCAAGTTTACAGAACATGCATTAAATACCAGTATTATAATTTACAACATAGAATCCAGTCAGAAATTTCTCTTTCATGAAAAGGATACTAATGTTAATCTAGTTATCCAACATCTCTGAGTTACCAAGGGGCCAATCTATGAATAAAAACTCAAGCTCCTGACTTACATTTGACCTCATGAAATGCTTTCTTTTGCCCTTTTTCAACAGTAAATTCGGAAGTGCCCCAAAGCTAGCCTTGAAAACAAAAGGAAGAGGCTCCTTGCATTGTCTCTAACACCTGTATTCCAGCTAATCAATTTTTGCCTTGCTTTCTCCCCTGCTATTTCTGGGATGAAAAATCTATTCCAGAATTTTCATTAAATCATCTTATCCTTAAAAATCACAAAGTTTTTTTTTTTTTTTTTTGAGGCTAGAACATCTGGACTCCCCAAGTGGCTCCTTGATATACCCATGCTCATCAGAAATGCATCACTCAGGGATGATAGGTTAAAGATCTAATGATTTATCCAGGAACAAAAAAATATATATATATAGCAAATCATTTTTTGTTAATGGTATAGTCCACACAAGACTATGCTTTTTAATATTTATGAGTATATCAAAATGAGAATGCAACACTTTATTAAATCTTGCCCCAATTGTGGTACTCTTTATTTATAATTGTATATGAGCTCTGGTGGCATAGTGCCTAAGCCAATTGACTGCTAACCAGAAGGCTGGCAGTTCAAAACCACCAGCCACTTCTCACACCTAAAATAAGATTTAAAATTTCCCAAGGCTGCTACTGATTCTTAGCTTAACCCACAACTTCCACCTTTTGCTCTCTCCACTCCCACCACACATGCCAACCATGTCTGTCTCATAGCCTTTGCACTAGATGTTCCCTGGGCCTGGAACAAACTTTGTTCAGATATCTGCATGACTGTCTCTCTCATACATTCAGATCAGGTCAGGACTCAGATCAAATGTCAGCTATTTAGAGATATTCCCCTTGAATACCCTCTATAATTATCATCCTGCTCTTGCACTGCTTCCTTTTCTTTACCGTGTTTCTCACTATTTGACTCTATATTTTATATCTATCTGTTTGCTGGTATTTAGAAAGCAGGAGTTTTTCACTGGTATTTTTTCTTCAGCATACGTAGTGCTCTCAATAGACAGCTTTTGAGTGAATAAATGAAAGCACCAACATAAACCTATATGCAGCAGGAGTTACTATCTCTTTTTGGATAAAAAATAGGACTTATACAGAAGAAGTAACATTTGGAATCACATAACTAGATGTAACGTCTTCAGGGAGACATAATACCTCTCCCATTTGAATGATATCATGAGTAGAAGCAAGGTAAGGGATTTCATGCCTAAAAACAAATCTAGTTCCATTTGACTTCAAGGCATGAGACCTGTACCACCCCACAAGAAGTAAAACACAATTATAATATAAAAAGTACATGACATATACTCTATGAAAATTACAAATTGCCTTTGGGGAAAAGGGAGAAGTCAACGCCAAAGACTACATCAGAATCAGAAGGATAAGGTATTTAAAATGTCTCTGAAAAAAAGATGGGCTTTTGTCTGTTAGTAGATAGGGGAATACCAAAACCAAACTCACTGCTGTCGAGTTGGTCCAGACTCATAACGACCGCTCCTTGGGTTTCCAAGGAGATATCTCTACAGAAGTAGATTGTTCAGTCTTCTTTCTGGGGAGTGGCTGGTGAGTTTGAACCACCAGCCTTCTGGTTAGCAGTCAAATTAAGCACTATGCCACCAATGCTCCTAGAAAGGGGAATAATCGTAGGCATATAAGCAAAATTAAGAGAGAAAAGTGGAGGGAATTTGTGGACAGCAATGTTTTTAAATGGCAGGGAATAAGGCTGACCATGTCAGATTTTAGGAATCTACAAACAAAATGTTTATATTTCATTTGACTTCTAAGCCTGAGCTTTTTACTTGACATTATATGTATTGTTGTTGTTTATTGTCATTAAGTCAATTATGACTCACAGTAACCACATGTGTGCAGAGTAGACCTGCTCCGTAGAGTTTTCTAGGCACTGACTCTTCAGAAACAGATTGTTAGTTATGTTTTCTGAGAAACCTCTTGTGGGTTTGAACCATCAAACTTTAGGTTAGGAGTCAAGTTCGTAACCATTTGCACTACTTTAATATAGTGTGTGACAGACGAAAAGTGATCATAAACACAAGAAGCACCTTTTGCTGCTATTGTAACTCTGGCTCTGTTTCTTTAGCAAAGAATACAAAAAGATGGGCTTTTGTCTGCTAGTAGAAAGGGAATACCAAAACCAAACTCACTGCCATCGTGTTGGTCCCGACTCATAGTGACACCTCCTTGGGTTTCCAAGGTGGTATCTCTACAGAAGTAGATTGCCCAGTCTTCCTTCTGGGGAGTGGCTGGTGAGTTTGATGTTGTCCTCCCACTATCTCTAACATGGCTTAACATGCTCATATCTGAGTGAAAACATGGGTAGAAGCACGATAAGAAAATTCAAAATCAGAATGGAGTTGGAAAGTTTGGAGGGAACCTATTCTCTCTGTAACTTAGAATTGGGGATTGAAAGAAAAAATTAAAGATATCAGATTGTAAAGGGGAAACTCAGGGAACAATCCTATGGAGAGGTCAATTTCCAATTTCCAAGACATCAGAAGAGAAAACAAACTTTTGTATATAGAAAACAATAAAACTATCCCATGCAATTCCTCCAAAAGTGACAATAATTTTTCTTTCTTTCTTTCTTTCTTTTATATAGAAGAATCTAGATCTCATTTTATGGAAAAATAATGATCAGCACTTCTAAAATTACATGACAGTGATGAAAACTGAAACCAAATGAAGCATCATCATCTTGATAAAGACTTCAATTAAAAGTAGATTTTATTCTCTTCCTTTCCGACTTCTAAAATTCTGTGTCAGCTGGAAATTATGCCATTCATCAGATCTGGGACCACCAGTTCCTATCAAATGAAAATGTTTGTCTGGTGACAATCTTTTCCCCAAACCACTCAACTTATCACAACCTGGAGAAGAATGGATGCAGGAAATCATTCTTCAGTAACTGAGTTTATCCTTGAGGGGTTAACAGATGAGCCAGTGCTCCAACTTCCCCTCTTTTTCCTGTTCCTCTTGATCTACATCCTCTCCATGGCAGGAAACTTGGGTTTGGTTATTTTAATCAGGATCAGTTCTCCACTTCATACCCCAATGTATTATTTTCTCAGCAATTTGTCCTTCATAGATCTCTGCTACTCTTCTGTCATAATCCCCAAGATGTTGGTGAACTTTGTGTCAAAGAAGAATTTCACCTACTTTCCTGAGTGTATGACCCAGCTGTTTTTCTTCTGCTTCTTTGGTACTGATGATTCTTACATGCTAACCGCTATGGCATATGATCGTTATGTTGCCATCTGTAACCCCTTGCTCTACAATGTCACCATGTCTCACAGAGTCTGTTTCCTACTTGTCACTGGTGTGTACACAGTGGGTGCTATGGGGGCTTTGGTCCACACCAGCTACATATCTAGTCGTTCCTTCTGTGGCACCAATGTTATCCACCATTACTTCTGTGACATCCTTCCTCTCCTGAATATCTCTTGTCTAAGAGACTACACCAAAGAGCTTTTGGTTATGATTGTGGTTTCATTCAATGTATTCTCATGTGCTATAGCCATCTTAATCTCTTATGTCTTCATCCTTTCCAGCATCTTACACATCTGCTCAGCTGAAGGCAGATCCAAAGCTTTCAGTACCTGCAGCTCTCACCTTGCAACTGTTGGGGTCTTTTATGGCTCCATTATTTTCCTGTATTTCAAACCAACATCTGTCAGTAACACAACCCAGGAGAAAGTGGCCTCTGTGTTTTATACCACAGTGATTCCTATGCTCAATCCCCTGATTTATAGCCTTAGGAACAAGGATGTTAAAGAAGCCCTAAAAATTATTCTGAATGGTGGACTACTTTCCAGGTCTGTGTAGAAAAAGCACAGTTAAAAATAGGTTTTATTTTGTCTTTTGTTCATGTTTTTTTGTGAGAGTGACTAGTTAGTTTCAAGTCCAGTCAGTCTGACATAAACTACTATGTTTGTATTGTTTATTTTGGTATCCTCATTACCTCATTTAAGATCCCCACTTCTTTTTTTATATATATTTTTTCTATCTGATAAAGTTTCCTTCCCTCTCCTCAAGATCCCCACTTCTATCACACAGATGACTTTCATTCTTCCTAACCTCTCAGTCACTAATGGAACAGTCTTCCTCACTTGTTTTTATAATTTTTACTTAGTTATTGGCTTTGTTCTTTGTCTCTCTCTCTTTCTCTCAATTTTTATTTATTTTTATTTTATTAGTTTACTTTATTTTTTTTAATTCCTTTCACCCAAGTTAATATATGTCTACTCTTTCCAAAAAGAAAAGAAAATGTTTCCATACAAAAAATATATATATATATATATTAGGAGATTACAGGAGAGTGTAGATGGAAGAGTAAATCACTACCTTGAGTAGACATCTACTCTTTAAATCAATACCTAAAGAGTAGATGTCTATTTTCTTTTCTTTCTTCTTCTGTTTTTTAACCTCATATTTCTTCCTTTATGTAACTGTTCTTATATAAAAACTTCTGAACTAATAGTGAGAGAATGTGTAAATCTCCTCATAAATATTTGCATTATAATACACAGCAGGCTTCTGGAATGAACAATTCTTAAAAATTCAAGGATATTTAATTTCTAGTAAATGATAAGACATAGTATCTTCATAAGACTTCCAATCATTGTTATAACCATTTAAGATCAGATATGTTTTGGGGAGATTTAAAAAGGGAGTGAAGATTGATGTAGGGACAAGCAAAAGGAAACAAAATAACTTTTAATGCTTATTTTAATTTTAATTTCTATTTAACATCTTTCTTTTCCCAAGTGTTGGATCCTTTGACAAATATTTTTTTTTTTTCCTTGTAAATGGACTCTTGAGATCACTTCCTCTAGAAGAGTATCATTATTATTTTTACTATATATTCTATAATAACTTAGAATAAATGCTGGTCATCACTGTATCATTAAAATCAGTTCATTCAATCATCATTAAATAATATCAGTCAATTATGTGTCAGGTACTGCACAAGATGCTTTGTATACAGTAATGCACAGAATCAGACAAAAATTTCTGTCCTCAAGAAGAGCAAATAATGAGCACATGAACAAGGAATATATAGCCTATAGTTCTAAGTGCTATGAAATAAACTAAAGTAGAGATAAGGGCTGGTGTGCTGAGGGAGCAGAGACTTGCTCTCTAAATGAGGGGATCAGGTACAAAGAAAGCTGATATCTGAGCAGAAGTCTGAGGGAGATGAAGATCAAACTGTGTGATTGTCTGAAAGAAGAAAATTTCATGCAGAAAAACAGTAAATGACATCTCTTAAGCAGGAGGATATTAGTCACATTCAAGGAACAGAAAGCTGGCAAGTGTGCTTACAACAAAGAGATCAGAAGCAGGGTAATAGATGGTGATATCAGGAAGATAGTTGAGTGAGATAGTGCAGATCTTGTAGGTCTTCAGGGGAAAGTTTCACAGTTTTTATTGTTACCATAAGTGAAATGGGAAGCCATTGGAAGGTTTGGAAAGAAAAGCAACCTGATATTATTCATATGCAATAGAATTACTCTGGCTTTGTCCATGAAAGGGTCTAGAAGCAATGAGATTAAGGTAATAAAAACAGTACTTATTGTTCAATTGCATTTGGTTTCTAAATATCATTCCCTACTAAAGGAAACCAGAGTTTCATAGAAAAAACAGTAGATTCCAGGGTGGGACATGAAAAATTCAAGATAATATTGGAAGGTCTTAACATTCCATGCAGTAAGTGCTCAAGATGTATGGATATTTGTCAAAGACACAATTAGATTCCTATGAAGGGACTCCTGAACCTGTTGCTGTTGAGTCAAGTCTCACTCATAACAACACTATAGAACAGAGTAGAACTGTCCTATAGGATTTTCAAGGCTATACGACTACACCCTGCAGTATGGATTACACTTCAACACAAAGAAAAAAAAAATGCCTCACAATTGGACCAATATGCAGAATCAAGATAAATGGAGAAAATATTGAAGTTGTCAAAGATTTAAAATTAGTTGGTTCCACAATAAACATCAATGGAAACAATAGTCAAGACCTCAGACAACTTCCTGTAAGATGGACGGATAGGCAGACAAGCTACACAGATGTTCTTCAACAAAGAAAGGTAAACCAATTGACAGAGATACAAAAGATAATCCTGGAGCCCTCAGCTTTGAAAGAAAGTATATAGAAGTGGATTAGGCACCAATTAGTGGAAAAACCTGAACGAAAACAGTGAGTACAGAGACAGTCGGAGCAGTGGACTGTCAGCTACTCTGACAGAACCCACAGCCGGAAGATTTCCGAGTGGTATTGGGTCCTGATAATTGACCTAAATATCAGCCCTGTTCACCAAGGGCTGCAGGACAATTGTGCTGGTGGTCTGTGACTAGGAAGGGACACAGGAAGGTAAACAGCGTGGACGGAGACAACCTGAGCTGTGGACTTTCAGCTGTCTGGAGGGTGCAGCCATTTTGATTGTTTACAAGCAGTGGCCATTTTGGATTTTAAAGTGACAGCATTCTCATCCGGATACTAGTGACCTAAGAATAAGCTCTGTTTGCCAAGGATGGCAGGGATATATAGGATGTAGACAATGGGAAAGAAGACAGGTGGTGAGTATATAAGTGTTGCCAATTAGCAAATAGAGGAGCACAGCACAGTACCCTGCTTACGTAGATAACATATAAACAAAAAATGAAAATTGTGGACAAGTCACTCCAACATAAAATCACCAATTAAATATAAACACAAAAACATCACAATGCCTTGGAGACAACAGAGCATCACAGTCCACAGAAAAAAGCAAGAGAAAGCAGGAGAAACAAGGGACCAGGATACAGACCTAAAACATCCCTGAAGAAGAAACAGTATTGGAACTTCCTGATAAGGAATTCAAAAGAATTATATTTAGGTATCTTCAAAGAATTGAGAGACAGATCAAGAAAAACATTGACAAATTGAAGAAAACACAGAGAAAACCCTAGAATAACTTCAAAAGACAATACAGGAACAAAATGGCAAAATAAATGAAAAATTAGAAATAATACAAAACCTACAGATAGGAATCCAGAAGATTAATTCTAAATTTTCAGAAATAGATAACACATTTAATGGGCAAAGGAGTAGAATTGAATCAATGGAAGACAGAGTTAGTGAGATTGAAGGAAAATACCTGAATACTTCTTGGAAAGGGATCAATCAGAAAAAAGATCAAAACAAAATGAAGAAAGCCAAAGGTTCATGTAGGATACTATCAAAAGGAATAACTTACATGTAATCAGAATTCCAGAACAGGAAGAGACAAATAAAACCACAGAAAAAAAATTGTCAAGATTTGTTGGAAGATAATTTTCCTGGTATGATGAAAGATGAGAATATATCCATTCAAGAAGTCCAACTAACACCAAACAGGATTGACCCCAAAAGAAAATCATCAAGACATATCATCATCAAACTCACCAGAATCAAAGACAAAGAAAGAATCCAGAAAGCAGCATGGGAAAAACGAAAGTTATCTACAAGGGGCAACCACTAAGATTAAGTTCCGATTTCTCGGCAGAAACCATGCAGTTGAGAAGAAAATGGGATGGTGTATATAAAACCCTGAAAGAGAAAAATTTCCAACCAAGAATTATATACCAGGCAAAACTGTCCCTCAAAGAAGATGGTGAAATTAGGAGATTTCCAGATCAGCAGAAATTAAGGGAATTTGTTAAAACCAGACCAACCTTTCAAGAGATACAAAGGAAGTCCTTTGGACAGAGAACCAACAGCAAAGAATAACTGACCACTAACACACATGATGTCATAACCCAGAAACCAACCCAATTTTAGAAGTATCCAAAGTAAGTAAACCTACAAGATTGTAAACAGGGTACCAGAGACATCAACTGACAAATGAAGGCAACTACAAACCAAAAAGAGGGAAAATATTGTGTAGTTATAGCACTTCTAAATGGTTGGGAAGTCAAGACAACTACAAGATAGAACAGACTGTTCTAAACTTGGGAAGAAACTGATAAATCACAGGATAACCTCAAAGAAAAATGATAAAGCTTTACATCAATATAAAAAAAAAGAGGACCAGCACAGATATTTAGCAAATACTAAAACAATAGCAACAAAGGAAATGATAGCACAATTCATAAACAAAACAGGTTCTGCACAGAAAACTATATGGAACAGAGAAATCAACAACACAAAAAAAGCACAACAAAATGACAGCAAAAAATTTCATACATATCTAGCAAGGGACTGATCTCTAAGATTTATAGAAAACTCCAATACCTCAGCAGCCAAGGGATTAACAATCCAATCGAAAAATGGGCAAATGACATGAATAGACACTTCACCAAGGACGACATTCAGGCGGCCAGCAAATACATGAAGAGATGCTCACGATCATTAACTATCAGAGAGATGCAAATCAAATAACACTGAGATATCATCTCACCCCAGCACTGATGGCAAGGTTCAACAAGACAGAAAATAACAAATGCTGGTGGAGATATGGAGAGATTGGGACTCTCATACACTGCTGG